CGCGCCTGTGCGCACCAGCGCTGACGATACGGCGCGGAAAACATTTTTCTCTCGGTTGAGCCGTGTGGTCGTTACGCAGCGAACGTCTTGCCGGTAAAAAGGATACTTTTGTAAAAATCCACCTGGCGCTCATTGAACGGAGAACGACAAGAGGAAAGGAATGAAATTTCTCGAGTTATTGTTCGCCGCAGTAGAATGGCCTGCGATAAGTCAGACGTCGAGAGCGCGTTCTTCAATACGCTGGATTTCACTTCGTCAGAGGGTACAAATCGCGAGATTCTGTTGCTTGAACGCGTGTTAACGCGTTGTTGTCTTGGTTACTCGATATTTAAGCCGGTTTTCGTCCCTTTTTTTTTATTGTCAGATAATAGCGAATGATTTTGTCGATTTGAAGAAAGATTTACTCGAGTTTTTCACCTCTAACTGTATACTTTTGTAAGTTGTCGATCCATTAAGCATCGAACGATGCGCATATTACAATTTATCTTAATGATATGGATACTTCGATTTCTTGAACTTTCTTAAAATCAGTCGAATCTAAGTGGAAGAAAGAGCAATTGTACGCGGTGAAACAGTGCTCTTGCATCGTCTTCAATCTCCACCGTCAGTGTCTCTTCCACTGCTTCTTCTTCCTTCAAATTCTTATTCGCTGCTCTTATTCGTTCGTATAATATGCATCCTATGTTTTCGTTTTTGTACCAGCCACGTTCTTCCATTCCCCCTTCCCTATTCTTCGCCTGTATCCTCCTTCTTTGTAGCAGAATGCTTTCTTTTGCCAGTTAGTCTCGGTTGATCTATCCTTCTTATTGCCTTTAGCGAGATTTTAAAATTCATGTACTCTTCCCCTCCTACATTTCCTTCCCTTAATCTCTCGTACCTTTCCTGCTTCCATTCTCTTCCACGTGCTGTCCTCGCTCGCTTTAACTTGTTCCGTATTTTCCATTATTCACGGTGTTCCATATCCTGCTACGTCCCTAGCAAGGGCTCTAGTTTCGCGCGTTTCCTCCAGTCTCCTTTTCTATTCGTTTCGTTGTTTCCCTTCCGATCGTCCCTCTGCTTCGCCATCGGTTTCTCCGAGAGCGTATCCACGTTCGTACACTTACGAATTTCCCTTAAACGCTGTTTGCGTCGTCGGCAACGTTAACGCTGACGAAGATCGGTGGCGGAAACGCGAAAGACGCTTGTTCCGTGGGATCTCCTCTCGGTCTGGCCCATCGGTCTTGTCCGCGACGATTCGCCGCTGTATTTCCTCGTTTAGGAAATTTAACGATGATAAAGCGGAATGGTTACGGACTTGGGAACAACAAATTAACGAAGAGAGAATAAACGAAGGCTCGCGGTCGCGCCCTCTCGCCTCAGATTTCATTTATGCCCTTAATCTAAACTTCGCAGACCGCTCCCGTTGCTCTTAAATCAAGCACGCGTTGAAATAATTCAGGCTACCTTACGGGTTCGCGCCTACACCTCAGAAACCCGATTTACCGTATCGGAGGAAACTTTGGCTGAATAAAGTGGCCTCCGACTCGCGCCACCCTCGCCCGCCTTTCCAAGATCTACAAGAGCCTCGGTATACATTTAGCAAAAGCGCGAACGGTGTTCACGAAACGGTAGCGATATCTCTCGTAGGATTTTATAGAGTCCTTGATATTGCGAGCGGCCTGTTGTAAATCTTGTTTAGCCTGCGGTAAATATAATATGATACGGACTTCTTGGAACAACTCGCAGCAAGTTTATTGGGAATTTATACGGTTATGGGCGAGCAAGGTACTCGTGAGCCGTTCTTTCATCCCCCCACCCCTCCTTTTTCTCTTTTTGTTATCATTCGCGTCTTTTTTTTCTTCTTTGTTTTCGCGAAGAATTATTAGCGAGTTATTCTCGTCGGTGATTTACGTAGAATACATTGGATACACGGTCATTTACTTCGCGAATATTCGCGAACCAAGTCGTATCTTGGTGCATGACGCTTGCAAAATACCTGGCTGTTACACGGAAGATCGGAATTCGTAGCATCCACGGCGAACGAACTCGTGTCTATCGATGACGTTCGTAGACTTTGTCTCCGGATGCAATAACACTCGGGTCTGTACCTTCCGTTTTCGTTTGAACGCGTCTGATACCTTCGGATAATTGTCGAATCCCGTGACGACCGAAGCATTCGCAATAATTGGAGCCAGTCGGCTTAGCATTGCAGAAGTTCGATTCTTCCTTACGATGAAGAATCGGATTAAGAATCGTAAGTTGATCGTCGACTGGTCTTGCGAAAAGACCAATTCTCGTCTAACGCGTATTTCGCCATTACGACAAAACGATTCGAGGTCTGCATCTTTCATTTCTATTCAGACACGTTCAAATACCTTGCGATAATTTGCAAACGCAGCGACACAAAGCGAGCCACCCTATCTGTGTCAATAATCCTTACATTCGGTTCTTTAGCCAGAATCGATTTCTCTGAAAGAAGACGAACAATGCGTATGGTACGCCGCCGGTGCCGCTTGAATAAATGATAAACGCGGTAAACAGGGTCCTTTTCGTCTCCTCTGCTGTCTGTTTCATGGGTTGAATAGTCGCTGGTATATATATCGAGCTCAGCTGGATTTCGATGGAGTTTCATTTTTCTCTCGTGGTTGGGGTTTCTCGGCTTTTCGCGTGTTTTCTCAGTCTGCACGGATAAATAGAAATTTTTCACCAGTGAAAGGGGATGGCCTCGCCGCTGGCATTCAGAACCCGGAAGCCGTTTAATGTAACGGCCGAGGAATGCGTGGAAATTGCGACCCCGTCTGCTCTCTCAGGATTAAGATCGAGATAATTACTCGGCGCCCGCGAAACGTACGACCAGACGCGTCGACCCGACGCCTCTGCCACGAATCGCTCACTACCGAAAGCACCGTAGCTCTTCTCGCGATCGAGTTCTCTTCCCCGAAATTATGAAACACTGAGTCAGCTTTTTCTGCTTTGCTCGGGGAATAGACGGCAGTCAGATTTTTCTGACAAGTCTGAAGAATAGGTGATAGGTTTCGCTGATAAATTTGGAAAATAGATGATAGTCAAATTTTTCTGGCAAGTTTGGAGAACAGACGATAGTCAGATTTTTCTGAGAAGTTTGGAGAATAGGTGATAGTCAGATATCTCTGACAAGTTTGGAGAATAGACAAGACTGAGATTTTTCTAAGAAGTTTCGAGAATAGGTGATGGTCAGATATCTCTGACAAGTTTGGAGAATAGACAAGACTGAGATTTTTCTGAGAAGTTTGGAGAATAGACAATACTCAGATCTTTCCAACAAGTTTGGAGAATAGGTAACAGTCAGATATCTCTGACAAGTTTGGAGAATAGACGATAGTCAAATTTTTCTGAGAGGTTTGGAGAATAGGTGATAGTCAGATATCTCTGACAAGTTTGGAGAATAGGTGATAGTCAGAGGTCTCTGACAAGTTTGGAGAATAGGTGATAAATATCTCTGACGAGTTTGGAGAATAGACAATAGTCAGATTTCTTTGACGAGTTTGGACAAAAGACGATAGTCACGTTTTTCTGACAAGTTTGAAGAATAGACGATAGTCAGATTTGCCCGGTAGGTTTCGAGACTACGTTGCGGTGTATTCACGCTTACCCATTCGTAGGTTTTTGAGAAATATTTATCGCTTCGAAAGTCGCGCAACGGAACACTCGCTCCGAGAAGAAGTATCGTTCTCTTCGCGATCAAGTTGCTCGATATTTTCAGAGGCGTGATCATACGTTTTTGGTGAGTTTGAGGACTAGATACTAGTAGCGCTAGAGATACTCGTAGTTTTCCTCGGCACTTTTATTCCTCCGAGAATCGCGCAACGAATCATTCACGCCCGAAATAAAACGATCTAGTTCTTCCGCGAATAAAAG